AAAAAAAAAGTTATTAAAAGAATAAATAAATAAAATCAAAGGAAGACAAACACAATGGCAAATACAGATGCTAATATATCAATATTAACTCTAAATGTAAATGGACTAAACTCTTCAATAAAAAGACACAGAGTTGCAGCCTGGATTAAGAAACAAAACCCAACCTTTTGCTGTCTCCAGGAAACACATTTAGCTACAAAAGATAAAAATAGGCTCAAAGTTAAAGGATGGAAAACAATCCTACAAGCAAATGGACCAAAAAAGAAAGCAGGAACAGCTATACTATATATCAGATAAAACAGATTTCAAACTCAAAAAAGATAAAAGAGACCCCAATGGTCACTACATTATGATCAAGGGGACAATACTTCAAGAAGAAATAACACTCATTAACATATACTCACCAAACGAAGGAGCACCAAAATATATCAGACAACTGTTGTCCTCTCTGAAAACAGACATCAGAGAAAACACATACGTAGTGGGAGACTTCAACACACCACTATCAACAATGGATAGATCAACAAGACAAAAAATAAGTAAAGAAACCAAAGCTCTAAATAAAGACCTAGAGCAATTGGGTTAACAGACATCTATAGAACACTAAACCCCAAAAACGGAGTAACATTTTTTCTCAAGCGCACACGGATCATTCTCCAGGATCGATCACATACTGGGGCACAAGACAAACATCACAGATACACCAAGATTGAAATCATATCAACCATCTTTTCTGACCATGAAGGCATCAAACTAGAAATAAACCATAAAAAGAAGGCAAGGAACTTTCCTACCTCATGGAGATTAAAAACCACACTACTGGAAGACCATTGGACTAATGAGGAGATCAAAGAAGAAATTAAAAATTTTTTGAATTGAACGACAAGGAGGACACCAATATCCTAAATGTATGGGATGCAGCAAAAGCAGTAATAAGAGGAAAATATATAGCAATAGAAGCTCACATCAAGAAACAAGAAAGAACTCAAAGAAACAACCTAATCTCGAAGCTCAAAGATCTAGAAAAAGAACAACAAAAAACCCCAAACCAGTAGAAGAAAAGAAATAATAAAACCAAAGCAGAAATAAATGAAATTGAAACTAAAAAAACAATCCAAAAGATCAATGAAACCAAGAGCTGGTTCTTTGAAAAAATCAATAAAAATAGACAAACCCCTAGCCAGCTCACAAAGGAAAAAAGGGAGAAAGCACAAATAAACAGGATCATCAATGAAAGAGGAGAAATCACAACGGACACAGCAGAAATCAAAAGAATAATCAGTAACTACTATGAACAGTTATATGGAAACAAGTTTAACAATCTAGAGGAGATGGACAAATTCCTACAACTCTACAATCACCAAAGCTAGATAAAGAAGAAATAGAACACCTAAACAGACCAATTACAAGCAGCGAAATTGAAATGGTAATCAAAACCTCCCAAAAACAAAAGCCCAGGACCTGATGGATTTACAAATGAATTCTACCAAATTCAGAGACGAATTAGTGCCTATCCTTCACAAACTCTTCCAAAAAATTGAGAAGGAAGGGACAATACCAAACACGTTCTATGAAGCCAACATTACACTAATACCAAAACCGAACAAGGACAACACAAAAAAGGAAAACTACAGGCCAATCTCCCTAATGAACACTGATGCAAAAATCCTCAATAAAATTTTAGCTATCAGAATCCAACAATGTATCCATAGGATAATTCACCACGACCAAGTTGGATTCATTCCAGGGGCACAAGGATGGTTTAACATCCGAAATCAATCAACGTTATCCAACACATCAACAAAAAGAAATATAAAAACCATATGATAATATCAATAGATGCTGAGAAAGCTTTCGACAAAGTGCAACACCCATTCATGATAAAAGCCCTTGAAGTTCTTGGGATACAAGGAACATACCTCAACATCATAAAGGCCATCTATGACAAGCCAACAGCCAGTATCATTCTCAATGGTGAAAAGCTGAAAGCAATTCCATTAAGATCTGGAACAAGACAAGGATGTCCACTCTCACCATTGCTTTTCAATATAATACTGGAAGTCCTAGCCAGGGCAATAAGACAAGAGAAAGACATCCAAGGAATCCAAATAGGAAAAGAAGAAGTCAAACTATCACTATTTGCAGACGATATGATATTATACATAGAGAACCCCAAAAACTCCACAGAAAAGCTAATTCAACTCATCAATCAGTTCAGTAAAGTGGCAGGATACAAAATCAACACGCAAAAGTCAGTAGCCTTCCTATACACAAACAATAAATCTGAAGAAGAAGAAATCGAAAAAGACCATCCCTTTTGTTATTGAAACAAAAAAAATCAAATATTTGGGAATAAATCTAACAAAAGAGGTAAAGGACCTATACAAAGAAAACTATAAAACACTGTTAAAGAATAGAAGAAGACACAAAGAAATGGAGAGACATCCCCTGCTCATGGATTGGAGAATAAACATTATTAAAATGGCCATCCTTCCAAAAGCAATATACAGATTCAATGCTATTCCAATCAAAATTTCAATGTCATTCTTCAAAGAAATAGAAAAATTATTGATGAAATTCATATGGAATCACAAAAACCCGAATAGCCAAAGCTCTCCTGAAAAAAAAAGAAGGGAATGGAGGCATCAGACTCCCAGACTTCAAAACTATACTACACAAGCCAAATCATCAAAACTGCATGGTATTGGAACAAGAACAGACATACAGACCAATGGAATCGAATAGAAAATCCAGAAATAAACCCACAGATTTATGGTCAACTAATCTTTGACAAAGGAGCAAAGACTATGCATTGGAGCAAAGAAAGTTTGTTCAATAAATGGTGCTGGGAAAACTGGGTCGCTACATGCAAAAGATGAAGCTTGACCACCCCTCACACCATACACAAAAATCAACTCAAAATGGATTAAAGAACTAGACATAAGACCTGAAACCATAAAATATATAGAAGGAAATATAGGCGAAACACTACGTGATTTGCACATCAAAGACATCTTTACAGACACATCACCCAAAGCAGTGATAGTGAAGGCAAAGATAAACAGCTGGGACTATATCAAATTAAAGAGCTTTTGCACAGCAAAAGAGACAATAACAAAAACAAAGAGAAACCCCACCAACTGGGAGAACATTTTTGCACCCAACACTAATGATAAAGGACTGATCACAAAAATCTGCAAAGAGCTGATGAGACTCAACAACAACAAAGAAAATAATCCAGTCAAAAAATGGGCAGAAGAGCTTAAAAGAAACTTCTCTGAAGAGGAAGTGCAAATGGCCAACAGGCATATGAAAAAATGTTCAACATCACTTGTCATCAGGGAAATGCAAATCAAAACTACCATGAGATACCATCTCACACCAGTGAGAATGGCACATATTAAAAAAACTAGCAACAACAAATGTTGGCGAGGGTGTGGAGAAAAAGGAACTCTTCTGCACTGTTGGTGGGAGTGCAAACTGGTCCAACCACTGTGGAAAGCTGTGTGGAGATTTCTGGACCTACTAAACATAGAGCTTCCATATGACCCAGCAATTCCACTCCTAGGTATTTACCCAAAGGACACAGAAACATCAATTCCAAAGAACACCTGCACCCCTATGTTTATAGCAGCACTGTTTACAATAGCTAAGCTTTGGAAACAACCAAATGCCCAAAAATAGATGACTGGATCAAGAAGATGTGGTACATATATACCATGGAATATTACTCAGCATTCAAAAAAGATAAACACATGCAATTTGCTGCAACATGGATGGCGCTGGAAGGGATCATGCTCAGCGAAATAAGCCAAAAAGAAAAAGAAAAATACCGGATGGTCTCACTCATAGCAGGAATCTAGAAAACTTAAATAATGGACCAGGAAAATGAAAAACTATAAGAAAGTGAAAATCAAAATCAACAAAAAACTATGAACCAGAGACACTTTTAGGGGGCGGGGGGCGGGAGGGGAGGGATTGGGGGCAGAATGGGGGCGGCAATTGTATGGGGAATATAACAATAAAATTTATAAAAAAAAAAAAAAAAAAAAGAAAAAAGAAAAACACAAGGATAGTGGAAGTCAGCAGTAGTGCAAGTAACCTTTACTTGTCTTGTTCCCTGAACTTGCTTGTTCCACTCCTATAATTAACCTTTATTACAGCTAGAATTAGACAGTTGTGGGTCTCATGATGAACCAATTATCAGTTTGTGTTGGCGACTCTGTGGGCAGATAGCTATATCAGTTTAAACATAAATATTAAAGCTGTATCAGTTTAAACATAAATATTGAAAATTAACAAAGGTTCACCTTCCATATTTTAAGCAGGGAAAGATAATAAAATTTCACATTGTGCAAGGAGAGATTCATACTAGGGACCTTTTACTAACACTAGACTATCTTCACACATCTTCTGGGCACCGAGATCATATCAACCCAGCATCACAGACTCTTGTCCCTTCAATAGCCTGCCTGTGCAGTACCATTGTCAACACCTCTGCAGATAGATGCTGAAATTCTGACACCTGTGGGACTAGGTCAACAAGTGACACTGAAACAATCCCACCAAATGCCTTTAAAAATGCAGTTATAAATGTTAGAGTTTTCAAGTAAGTCCTAAGCCAGAGTTTGAGTTTTTCAAATAATAATTAAAAAGTAAAGTTCTCCCCATACTTATTATGATTATTCTTCTCTGTTTCTGCCCTGCCAGAAGTACATACAATTACCACATGAGTGCTGAGCTAGCTGGTGACCGGATGGTAAGGATGAAGGACACCACCTAAGGAGGAGGTGCCAGAGGAACGGCAGGCACCTAACCGACATGTCTAAGAACGTCAGCATCAGCAGGTCATGTCTTCATGTAAACTCAGTCACCCATGTGCACCGTGGAAAGACAAAAATCAATTACAGACCTCCCACTTCTACTTCAGAAAGCAGAGCTGGAGGGGGCCCTCTGTGTGGCCACCAGCCAGCACTGTCCGGCATGGCTGCGCAGCGTACCTGTAACAGACACTGTCCGTGCAGGGGTTATGAGCCCGGACAATGACAAAAACATGCTGGAAGTGGGAGCGGATATTTTTGGGGCTGAATGGCTGTGCTCCAGGCTCTTGGAAAACGATGGTTACGATATCATTTCCAATGTGCCTCTTCCGCAGGAGCTAAAAGAAACATAAGTAAACAACATGAATGGTAATACTTCATTCTTTCCTTCCCGTTCCCTTATGTACTTTAAATCATTCATTGTTAATCAGTATATATGAGGGCAGGTCACAGTATTGGGTATTTGAGCCTGCCTTATCACTCCCTCCAAGGAAGAATATGGAAATGAATATTCTGAAATTTGTATGACATATATAATCCATTCAAATAGACCTCACCAATATCTGGTATATTATGACAAGTCTCACTATCTTCAAATCCTTAGTTTCCATAACAACAGTTTGTTCTATTTTCATAGAATAGAAAAACTTGCCATGGGAAAGAATTTTAGAGCTAAAAACAACTATAGTATTTACAACACAATTTATGCTCTGGTTTAATTGGCTTCATTTAAAGAACTGTGGCTAAGGTGTTTTCTGATACACGTTTTGTGTCACAAGCTGGGAATGTAGAAATTCGTAATATTCCAGAATTTGTAACATATTAAAAGCAGGTTAAATTTCAAGTTTAAATAGTTTCTTTAACTACCATGAAAGCAGCTGAAGACTGCCTTGAGGCTCACATTGAAGTGTTTTGGAAAGATGGCTTTCAAATGTAGGCTCCACAAATCATCCCAAGCCAAGGCTTTTTCAGGGGGGCTTTATTAGATAATTTAATTCAATAGTGTTGAAGAAAAATGGAATAAACTGTATGGTTCTTATATTTATTATATGGCTATTAAAGGGAGAAAAATAATCAAACATGGCATTTACATAAACTATCCAATAGATATAAGTTTATATTTATAAAACTTACTTTTTATTCTTCAGTGACATCAATGTATACAAATTACATGCCCATAAAATCAATGATCTAGTATTGACCACCAGCTGGGAAGAACAACAGCCTTTTATTGTAGGTTAAGGTTGAGAATTGGGGGTTAGTATGTTCTGGAAATATACTTTTAACCGTAAGAATTTTAAAGCACCCCAAATTATCTTCTAATAAGGCAATTTACTTTCTAAACATGATACATTATGGAAATAAGGGATAATCTATAATGGCTTCCATACAAAATTTACCATTAAAGGTCATTCATTTGTACTCATTATTAAAGATTATTTATTTATTTAGGATGCGGACATACCAAAAACAAACCCTGTCTATGTACTATGTCACTCCTGCTTAGATGATGTCATTGACAATGACATTGTTATTGTCTCTTTGATGCAATGTCATTTTTTCTTCAAAATAGGGTTTGATATGTGATATTAATGTCATCATACAGGACCCAAACAGAAGTAAATCTATTTCATATGTAATAAAAGACAGTATTTATAAATTCTACAAAAAGATTTAAAAGAATCAGGCTTTCTCATTTTCTAGGTATAAAGAAATCCATATAGGAGAATATATTTTTTACCTAGAGAACAAAAATTCTTAAAATGCAGTAGTACGAATTACTCCCTCATTTTGATTTAGGATCTTAACACTATTGCCTTGAATGGGCCCCCAAATTAAATAATTTAGATAGCTGTCCATTTAAATGCAAACATCACTTTGCTCAGTAATTCAGCTCATTTAGTCAGAAATCACTGAATCTTGCTACTAAATTTTTTACCTCCTTCCCCACAACTTATCATTCTCAGCAGAGAAATCAGGTGCAATAAGCCTTTATCTCCCCTTTAAAGGTCATTTGTCAAAGTTCTTACTTTTCACTGGTGACTGGCCAGAATAAGAAGTCTAGTAGTGTATTTTTCTTAGCACAAGATATTCCTCCTAGAGAAATCTAAACTTGGAATTTGCATAAAACAAATTGTCAACAAACTCCAGATCAGGGACTTTATTCTAAAACAGGCTTATTTCAGATTGATAGAGGATTCATTGTTTTGCATCCTGTGTTTACTTTGGTAGTCATAAAAGGCAAAACCTTGTTCCCTAGATCTGTGATTTAATCAAACTTTAGTTTGATGAAGTGTTTGATTAGATTTGTGTTTTGTTAAATTCTATGAAAGAGGATGTGATTCATTCTGCAGCTGGCCTGTGGTCTGTTAGAGCAACAATTGACAATAACAAAATCTATATCTACTTTAAAGTCAGTAGTTGGGCCACTGCTGTTTAAGTAGCTAATGAAAGGGGAGTTGGTTATAACGCTCTCCGGTTCTTTAAATTTCAGTTTGGTACCATTTATTGTGAAGTATTTTTTAAAAACAACAACTACAACATACTCTCTAAACAATACTGCCACTTTCCATTTTGCAATCTGTCACTTCTTAATTTCTGCATTTTTTAATCTTCCTCACTACATTTTAGTAGCAGAAACTGTGCCAACACGTAAGCAGTTATTTCGATAAAAAAGAAAAACTATGTATGTTGTACACAAATGTAATTGTATTTATGTCCCTTGCTATCTTCTGATGAACACATTAAGACTATGTTTACTTTTCTGATTTTTTTGTTTGTTCTCCAAGTTAACATACAAAACCTCCTTTGAAATCTGAAACGAAGCATCGGAACTTTCCTGCTTTGTACAGTGGCCTTTTGAGATGAAACTTCGCCCACTCATATATATGTTCTCCGCAACCCTGCAGAGTCATCTAATCACCATGATTTCAACTTGTTCTCTTCAGATTTCATGAAAACCTCAATCCCCGTGGGTGAAAAGCAAATGATTAATTCACAAAGCCATCCAGCTGGCTGTTAACCTAGAATTTGTGTCTCTTCATTTGTTCTCAGCTCATTTGCTATTCCTTACTTCCACAAAGTACAAAGCTTCCTGCTGCTGTGACAGGTGCAACATTAAACTCTGGTTTAAGATTTTACAAACTTGCCACTTAGGCTTCTGGGGGAAATGAGACTAGGAGGAAGAAACACAGAGAACACCAGGATGTCTCACCTGCTGCTTGTTGTTGGGTGTGTAGGGCAGCATGGTGGAAACATGGAACATGATTTCATAGTCCTTGTAGGTCGTATACAGAGAATGGGTTCCAGTGGAATCAGCTACAGCAAGAGAAAAGGTGACAGATACATGTTTATACATAGTGACATGACATTAAGAATAGGAAAAAAGTGTGGAGATTTCTTAACCTACTAAACATAGAGCTTCCATATGATCCAGCAATTCCACTCCTAGGTATTTACCCAAAGGACACAGAAACATCCATTCCAAAGAGCACCTGCACCCCTATGTTTATAGCAGCACTATTTACAATAGCTAAGCTTTGGAAACAACCCAAATGCCCAAAAATAGATGACTGGATTAAGAAGATGTGGTACATATACACCATGGAATATTACTCAGCATTCAAAAAGGATAAACACATGCAATTTGCAGCAACAAGGATGGCGCTGGAAGGGATCATGCTTAGCGAAATAAGCAAGAAAGAAAAAGAAAAATACCCGATGGTCTCACTCATAGCAGGAATCTAGAAAACTTAAATAAGGGACCAGGAAAAAGAATAACAATAAGAAAGAAAATATCAAAATTGACAAACAACTATAAACCAGAGACACTATGGTGGGTGGGAGGCAGGGAAAGGAGGGCTTGGGGTCAAAATAAGGGGGTTGTAATTGTATGGGGAATATAAAAAATAAAATTAAAAAAAAAAGAATAGGAAAAAAATTCTGTGACAAAATATGGTGACAGATAGTAACTGAACTATTTGTGGCAATCCTTTTGCATATACAACAAATACTGAATCATTACCTAAAACTCGTATGTGAATGTTATCACAGTAAGACAAAAAATAGTTTAAGAGAAACCCTTAAAAAATTTCCTTAAAAGGAGATAGTGTCGTATCTGATCCCCTTTGGCAGTGTAGTGACATCTAGGGGGTACCTTCTTAGAGTATTATTTGCAAGTCATACAAAATGTGATTTCAACAGAAATCAATTATCTGGAAAAATAAAGTTACCAAAATTTTAAAATGATTTATGACATAAGATTTTTATAGCAGGATCTAGCAGTTGTTCTATTAAGTACTAGAATTTTGAAGTAGTGATGAACACAAACAATATAATTTAAAAAAAAATCTGTGCTTCCCAATAAAACCACAGGTAGAGTTTATATTACTGTGGTTTCTTGCCTAAATTCACAACATAAGGAAACGCTAAAATTAAATCAGGGGGTCAGTGAAAAGAAATGTGAGCTATTTCCCATCCAAGTTTACAGACATCTTGTTCATACACATCAAGTTAAGTATCTTTTTTCCAATATTTTTGATTCGAGGAAGACAACTGTTTTTAACAAGCAAATGGACATTTCACAAGACGGTAACACTGAATAGCAATGATATTACAGCAATGTCCAATAACTATTTTTTTATAATAAATTTTATTTTTATATTTCCCATACAATTGCAACCCCCTTATTTTGACCCCAAGACCTCCCCTCCCGCCCCCTTCCCCCCATAGAGTGTCTCTGGTTCATAGTTTTTGTTGATTTTGATTTTCACTTTCTTATAGTTATTCATTTTCCTGGTCCCTTATTTAAGTTTTCTAGATTCCTGCTATGAGTGAGACCATCGGGTATTTTTCTTTTTCTTTCTGGCTTATTTTGCTGAGCATGATCCCTTCCAGCGCCATCCATGTGGCTGCAAATTGCATGTGTTTATCTTTTTTGAATGCTGAGTAATATTCCATGGTATATATGTACCACATCTTCTTGATCCAGTCATCTATTTTTGAGCATTTGGGTTGTTTCCAAAGCTTAGCTATTGTAAATAGTGCTGCTATAAACATAGGGGTGCAGGTGCTCTTTGGAATGGATGTTTCTGTGTCCTTTGGGTAAATACCTAGGAGTGGAATTGCTGGATCATATGGAAGCTCTATGTTTAGTAGGTCCAGAAATCTCCACACAGCTCTCCATAGTGGTTGGACCAGTTTGCACTACCACCAACAGTGCAGAAGAGTTCCTTTTTCTCCACACCCTCGCCAACATTTGTTCCAACAACTATTTTTTAACTTAAGTGTGCTGTCCTGTCACCATAGGGAAAAGAACAACCTCTATTCTCTTAATTATTAAAAAAACAATGTGCCCATAAATACCTAGAAACCAGAAATAGAATTATTAAATGTCCAACTGAAAAGGGATATATTTTGACTGGAGTTCCAGGCTACAAAGTGAACAGAAGTGCATGCATCCCAGGTAGACTCAAGCCTCCACCATCCATATCATTGAGGATAAAGCACTCACTGCATCACAGGGAAGGATGCTGTAAGACAGCCTCTGGAACATACCAAGAGGCGCAAGCTCTCAAACTTTAGCATGCATAGTATCAGTTGCGGAGCTAGTTTAGAAGACAGATTCCCATGCCTTACCCCCAAATATTGTCCAGTGGATGTGGGGCTGGGCAGAGGAATCTATTTTTAAAAACTCTCCCAAATAATTCTAACACAGTCACTCCACTGCCCCCAGGCACTGCTCCAAGAATAGACCACAGTGGTGATTTGCAGACAGACTTGTAAAGATGTTCTAGAGTCCTGAGTTTCAACCTTGAGCTTCTTGGAGGATCTTAATTTTACAGTTGACATAAAATACAAAGGGCTAAGACCCAGAAAAACACAAAACAAAAACTAATTTTCAAAAATTCCAAAACATAAAACTCCCCAAGAAAAATATCTTCTAAATGTTATTGGGTACTACCCCAAAGAAGTACAAATTACTACAATCAAGTATTGAAATATTTCAGACAGGTCTTGAGTATGAAGAACTTTATTGTTAAGGACCCTTTCTATAAATATCTGTAGAACTGATTAGTACATTCTAAAACTTTAAAGTGAATGTGTCAGCTTTGACGTGTACTTACAAGTCAATTTTAAGCAAAATTAATGAACTAGAAAAAAAGAGACTGTCATCCAGTATTCATTTAGTACATTTTGCTTTATATGTCTGTCTAATTTTAAAAAGATTATTGCCAGAAAGGAAAAGTGATGTGGAAGACAATCCTAAAGATAATTTTTTTTTCAACTTCTAGTTCTTTCTCTTGGTCCTTTGCATGCCTCATTTTATAAAATACATGCTGCTTAACCAGCTCCCCACCACACCCCCACCTGAGGACCTTTAAAATCCCAGAGTTTTGCTGATAATTTAAACAGCTTGGAAACAATTTCAAAATTCAGAGAGGAAACTAGGCCAAAACAATAAAATTTTCCTTCCTAAGAAGAAAAGAATTCCAAATTCCTGAAATTACTATATACATAATTGAATTGTTAAGCTTTACCAGAAAGAATGGGAGATGCATGTTTGCTAGATTCTAAAACATAAAACACCCAATGTTGTTATCTTGTTAGTGACCTTGAAACCCTGAAAGATTTAGTAGAATGATAATCAGAAAAATGACAAAAATCCTTTTTACTATGGTTGAAGAAAATCCATATTGAAAATTTTCTAAAGGGAAAATATGCTTGAAAAAGAGGGATGAAAAGTAATTATGTTACTTCATATCTGTATGGAGCTTTAAAAGTTAAAAGGTAAATTCAGGCATCTATGCCTCAGTTGCCAATCACGTGATTTGCCTCCAAATCAGACTGCCAATGAATGGCACATGTCCATAGTAAGGTCAGCCCTCTACCAAAGTCACACAAAGTAAAATTTCTAATATTCAAACTAGAAGATAAGAAGACATTAAATAATTGAGGAATGATAAGAATATTACTCAGCTGTTCTGAAAAGGTATAGATAAGACAGAATACCCTATCTTAGCCATTTCTATTGGAAGATGATGTGAACAGGTTACTAAGTTTGTAGAAGCACGTTCAGATATGGTACATGTCATAATCCTCTATGACTTCTCTTTTGTTTCAGTTCTTTTGCTTTTGGGTAGTCTGAAACTTGAATAATAAAGGTATGTATATGAGTCAGAATGAAGAAAAAGTGATGAGACATATGACCATTCCCTGCTCGCTGGGAGATATGCTTGAGTTAGGAAAAGCAAGATGAAGGAAAACAAGCCCAGGCAATTTGATATTTGGATATTTTCTAGTTTTAAATATTTATGAACACAGGGAGAAAATTAATTTCATTAACTAAATGCATGTAGACTGACAAAGTCAGTAGAAAGGAAAAAGCTCCAGCTCAGCTTACTAATGTCTTTACCACCAAGAAGACATCAAATGCAAGATCAAACTCAGGCCGGCTGTGGGCCTAAATGCCATGAGAGTTGGGAGCTACAGGGGACCCTCCATTTAAGACCCCCAGATCTGCCATCTACTCAGCCTTGCTCAAGGTCTGGGGATACAGAAGTCACCCCTCAGAAGCTCAGCAGGGGCACGTATTGCCACATACAGGAGAGGAGGCACATTTTGCCCGTGCCACACTGTTTCATTCACGAATGAAGCATATGGGGGAGTCAAGGAGTCTGTCTGCTTCTTGAATCAATCATATTTACAATATTGCTTCAAAGTGCCTTTAGCCATGGTGAGGACATGGGTTACTTTACTTCAATGAGGATGGGAGCAAGGAGGACACTGCTTGACAGACAAATCCACACTCGTCAGTTCAAGGGATGCCTGAGCATGCACTTATTTGTACCTGGGACTCAACTTGGTAACATGCCGTTAGAAAAGGATGAGAGAGGTGTGCGGCTGCTACTTAGAAACCAGTCACCACTATTTTCTACATACTGCTCACTTTGCCAGATACCTGCAATTACCTGGATTTCCAGTTTAGAAGGAGGAAGGTCTAAATCTGAATGCTTACAGCATCGTTTGCTAAGTGATCACAGCAAATCACTCACTTCTCTGCCCCTTGATATTCTCACTGTTGTGAGGACCATGAACATTAATATATGAAACCTATTTAAATGAGGGTGGGAAGCTCAAAAGAGAGCATCACGTATGCATGAATCACCAAAGGAAAGGACCCAGGACCAGGGGAGTGCTGCTATACCCTGTCCTGCAGAACTGCAGAAGATCCTCCAGAGACTATGGCGGGGCTGCCCTTAGGGCTGCAAAGGAGCACCTGGGTTTCATCATAAACACACTCTCTAACCTGCCCTTTTTCCTATTGTTCGTTTCCTAGTAAACCCATTTGTTGTTGGAATAAATGATTGCTTTTCTTTGAGGCCAAAAGGATTAAGTGAACTAATACATATATGAAAGCACTAGCTCACAGAAAATGCTCAAAGATGTGTTGACTAGAAGTTAGAATTTTGTGCAGCTGAGGTATGAAGTGTAGTTTCCTTAAATAGGGCTGTTTATATATTTTAATTTCTTTGCCAACTGAAGTCAGGAACACTCTATGGAAAAAACTTATACTGTAACAGTTCAAAAGTGAAGGTGATTAAGAAAGAATCTTTCCTTCATTCATCACTCTCTAGATCTCCAAATAGGCGTTTGCATGTGCAAAGCATTTAAACAATGCTGGTTTTATTCCCTTCCTTATCAATGTTTAAATAGTCCAAATAGAGAAGGATTTATTTTCTTTATGAGATGTCTTATATATCCTCTAAAATTCCACTCTCAATGGTCTTTAGAACTCTGCTGGAAAATGGAGGAAGCAACAAAAATCTGCTAATATTGCAGCAAATTAATGAACACAAGACTCTGAAGGAATGCCTTACAAGGGGCTTCAAGTCTCCTCTGTGCTGACTCAACAAATAAGCTTCAGTGAGGAAGCAATTTCCCAGATAACAATCGACATGTACAGCTTAACCTGAGGGTGGTCTCCAGCTTACAAGTAAACTGCTTGATGGGTAGTTTATTTTTGTATTTATTGTAGTGTGAGGGGATGGTAATTATCTGGATGTTATATCATCCAAATGAGAAAAAAGGAGGAAAAAAATCCACAATTGAAAATTATTTCACTGCAGAACTGCTCCAATTCCCGACACATTTGTAGTTTGTTTGCTAGAAGTCCTATTTCTGAGATTGGAAAACGGACTTTGTATAGAAAATTAGGAAAAAGAAGAAATGGATTAGTAGTTTCAGCAAGCCTTCCTTCCCTAAGTCTTTCCTTCCTTTACCAAAGTACTAAAGCCTGAATATATAATTATAATACATGGTAAGTAGAGCTGTCTCGAGAGATGGCTTGGGTTATTTTTTAGACTGAAGGTTTGACAAGGTAAGACATGGCCAGAGGGAAGCCAAATCATACTGGAGTTGAAAAAGCCCAAGGTGGAGGATATTTTCTGGGCTAAGTACCAAAGAGGAAGAAACTCCACAATAAAAGGGGTCCTAAAATCTGCAGAGGTCCTCTTGGGTCTCTGGCTGAATATTAAACTGTGCTTTTAGAAAAAAGATTCTAAAAGCCAGGCAAGGAGAAACTATTCGAGAAAGAGCAACCATCAGAGAATTTTAAGCAAACAATCTCACAGTTCACACAGGGCTGGAAGACACTCAAGTTCTGATTAGAACATGGGACAGATACCACACACTGAATATGTAGGAAGGTATTCAGGCCAGGAGAAGTCATGTATTTCCGTAGGGCTAGATTAGTCAGAGAACAAAGGCTACCCTAGGGTGCTTTATAAGAACAAGATTTATACATTCAAATTGTTTTTGCAAGCAACTTAAATGCCCACCAAAACAAAATAGCACTCTTTTGAAAAGATGACAAAATCTACTCAACAATGAAATAGTCACAATGTCCAGCATCCAAGCGAAATATCCAGATACATGTAATTCTAAATTAGTAGAAATTCTATTAAAAGGAAACCCCAAATGAAAGGTTCGTGGGATTAACATATAAAGCCTTTAAATCAGCGATTATGTTAAATGATTTAAAGAACAACATGAACGTGATAAAACAACAGAAACTGTAAGAAAATCAATACAACTCCAGGCCTGAAAATTACAATAACCAAAATCAAAATTTTATTAGAATAGAAGAATAAGATACTGTGGGAGAAAAACACAATGAAACTTGAAGACATATTAATATGTATTATGCAAGTGGAATCATAAAGAAAAGTTAAAAAATAGTCCCAATGGGTAATCCACTGCTTAATGACCTAACATGTGAAACTGGAGATAAACAGCAACAGCGGGAGGGGCAGAAAAAGATACTGACAAGTAATATTTAAATTTGATAAAAACAACATTTTACTACAGATCCTATCACATCTAGAAGGAATGATTCTTGAGGAACACTTGGTCTGGAAAGCACTTCCTCTTTTTAAAGATTAAAATGAAACAGAGTTTCCTGACATAAGATAAAGTCAGAAAACGTGGTGTGATGATCCAACAGCACACTGGCCATCTATCAACTCTTGGTGTTTCAGAGCCAGGAAGAGGTTACCAGGGTGTCAAAGACTGCTTGTTCCCTTTTTCTGTGGTCTGTTTCTGTTTAATACTCATTTAAATGATGAGGCTAATAGTCTTGACTTTTGACCCTGTTAGTTTGGAGTAAGAGAAATAAATGTGCATTCTGCCTTTGGCAGTGCTGTAGAATGGAAATGCTTCCCTATTTTTTGTTTACTTTAGGAAAATTGAAATGGTGAATGCTTCTTCTCAGGACCTATGTCTTGAAAGGTTACAAGTGCCTTAAAAGAGAGTAGTCCATTGGAAAGGACTCCTTCCCTACTGAAGGTATTACATAATTGTAAAACTGTGCAATGAAGAGCTCAGCCCCTTCTCACGCTTAGAGTTCCTGGGATATTGGAGCCTTGCCTTATCAGCTGCCACACTGCATAAGCTCAGTTCTGCTACACATTTCTCACATCATCAAGAGGTGGCTGGGAATGTGTAAATACATAAACAAGATGTAGCTTACCAACTCCTTTTCTGAATACTGATTTATAAAATCAGGGTGCTTATTACATTCTCTTCCCAGGCCACTTAGACAGTACTTTGTGGTCATCAAAATTTATACAACACAACAAATTGGGACACCATGAATGAACTATATAGGGTAAATATCAGAATGGATAAAAAGAGTTTAGGGGCATACTGATGTTTAACATTTCATGCAGTTGCTTGCAAAGTACAGAATGTTAAAATCATATTTAAGAGTCTAGGCTATTTATGGGTTTTAATAGTCTCTCTTCCATGTCGTTTCCAAGTTGGCAACAGCAAAACCATGGCAACAGGAAATTCTTCCCTGCAGTGGAGTTTATGAATGCTTTTCTGTTTTCATGACTCAACTCCTTATTTAATTTCCTGTACAGAAAATCAGAGAGATTGCTATAGACTGCAATATAGAAGTGCTAATCCAAAGACCCTCTCAAAGAAAAACGGGTCATAGTTATCTATGGATGAATTTTTGTGATAAAATTTAAAATTGCCTCGACACAGACACATGGCAGAAGTTAACATACTCTACCCACAATAGATACCTGAGAACTTAACTGTCTTTTTAGTGATTTGGGGAATGGAAAACACAATGTTCTATGTTCATGAGCCACAGCTCCACAGATTACTTCATTACTGTTCTTCTAATCAACACATTCTATTAGCCAAACAAACCCCAAGGCTAAGACCTACTTTGTTAGAGATTAGACTATGGATAATAATAATAGAAAATTTAAAAAATCTCCTAAATTGAAAGAATACACAAGTGAATAAGAATACAGGGCTTCCCTGGTGGCATTAGGGGTTAAGATGCAACCTATAAGGCTGTCCACAGTCTCTGCAATACGAGTTTGATCTCTGGCTGGCCAGGGAGCAACCCACATGGCGCAGCTCCTGCCTCACCCACTGTTCCCCTCAGCAGTGTACTTCAGTCAATCTGCCTGTTCTGCTCCCCACTTTGTCTCTGGTGAATATTCTCACCCCCCACACTTCTGGCCTATACCCCAGCTCTTGTATGCATAAATAAATAAATCTTAAAAAAAAAAATACACGTAAAGACTGAATATATAGATAAGCATGAGAATTATGAAGTTAATTAAAAAATGCAAAATTCTAGGGCTTAAAATCAGATGGCTACCCGTCTCTAGGGTTTTTAATAATTGTAATATTCAGTTAAATATAGTGAAATTTATGCAACACTATTCAGGAGCAATTCTATATGACCTGCATCCATTGCTCTACTTCATGCACATTGCTGCAAATTATTTTTTTTCCCCCAACAGTTCAATCTTAACTACTTTGATTATGATCTTCTATTATTTTTGGGGCACATCCTCCCTCTCTGGCTTCCTCTCCTCCATCACCAGCAGTTTTCTACAATAAATGGCAATGCTGTTTTATGGGCAATTTAGCAGATGAACAGCAACACAGCAGGAGGAAAATAAGCCTAGTAGGAGGGTATAAGTGTTTCTTACTTTTGGTGTCAAGCTGTGCACGATACTTCTCGAACCCTTTGAGCCGAACACGTTCTCCCAACAGCTGAAGGAATTCCTCAAAGGCAGGGCCGGCTGATTCATTGTTGTACATCTCCTCTTCTGTGCTCTGTCCAGCTTTGCAGTACATGATGCCCACTTTCTGCTGATAATTCAGCTGCAAAGACAGACAACATGATGCACTTAAATACAAGAAGATCCACTCTGCACCACCTAAATGCTAGTAAAGTCCTAAAGAGAACATGCCCATCAAAGAGGTAGTACCTCTGTCTTCCTTGAAATCCTTTTAATTCTTCTGTCTCTGTGGTAAAAAATGCAATAAAATAAGAATTTATAATTATAATCTTCATGGATTAAGAGAATAGGTTAGAAAAATAATTAAAGTTTCCTATATACCAAGAAAATGCATCATTAGGACATATGTTAATATTTCACAGAATTTCTGATGATAGATTAAAAAGTGCAAAACAAGACTATGGAAAACAGCCTGGTGCAAGGGGTGGTGCAAGGGGTTAAGAAGCAACCTATGATGCTGTCTGCAGCTGCTGCAGCATGAAGAGCTACCCACATGGCACAGCAGACCTCTCCTGTCTCGCCCACTGCTCCCCTCAGCAGTGTATTTCAATCAGTCTGCCTGTTCTGTTCCCCACTATGTCTCTAGTGAATTCTCTCACGGCCCCCTCCACACCTCTGGCCTGCACCCCAGTTCTTGTATGCATAAATAAATAAATCTTTAAAAAAAAGGGGGAGCCTTTATGAATTTAAAAGCAGAGGTCTACTTAACGAAAATCACTTTAAAATAAATCACTTGGCACTAAAGAGCCTATTCATATCCTTGTAAAGTTAAAAGACTGATCTCTCCATGCCATTTCCCAACATATTAAATGACACACCTTGGTTATCCCATCAATATCATCAACATTGTACTTTTCAAACATTTTCCTAAATGAAGAGTCCCCAATTAGAAACTTTAAAAGGGGCTTCATAATAGGAAACCAGCTAGTGGCAATATTCCTTTAGATACCATTAAAAATGAAGTATTCTAAGTGAAAATCAAAATCAACAAAAAACTATGAACCAGAGACACTTTTTGGGGGGTGGAGGGCGGGAGGGGAGGGATTGGGGTCAGAATGGGGAGTTTGCAATTGTATGGGGGAATATAAAAATAAAATTTATTATTTAAATTAAAAAAAAATGAAGTATTCTAGACATTTAAATATGATATAACATTAATCTGAAACAGTTATGGGCCTCCCCGGTGGCGCAAGGGGATAAGCACAGCACTATGAAGCTATCTGCAGACTCTGCAGCACGAGTTCGATTCCCGGCCAGCCAGGGAGCAACCCACATGGTGCAGCAGACCTCTCTGTCTCCTCGCCGGCTGCTCCCCTCAGCAGTGTATTTCAGTCAGTCTGCCTGTTTTGTTCCCCCTCTGTCTCTGGTAAATCCTCTCACGCGCCACATCTCTGGTCTGTACCCCAGCTCTTATATGCATAAATAAATAAATCTTTAAAAACCAAAAACAGTTATTCACACTGGGAAGTCATTCACTAGTCATTCTGTAAACATATTAAGGTGCTATTAGTCATAATAAGAAGTGAGTTTTCAACATAAAAATTGAGACTTTTAATTCTCCTATGAAAACAGGACAATCCAGGGGACTTGGGCCTATTTCAAGATTAGCATTGTGACAGCACATCTGTAAATTTTTATCTAATAGTAGGGGGAAAGGAAAAGGCAAAATTCTGATACATGTGCACCAATCACAATTGTTAGTGTTGAGCATATATTATTTATTCTCCCAACAGTCTCAAAGCAAATATACCCAGATAAACCAAGAGAAGGTCAGGGAATGGAAAAGTAGCCCAGAAGGGAGAGATCAGACTCTCAGTGCTGTGACTTGGTTCTATTAAAAATGACCAGGCCTCTCAATAGGGCTGGCCTTGCTCTATGCCTGCCACTGCAGCATCTGTCCACACCCTCTGATTTGCAAGTCTGATCTTGAAAGGTAAAAACCAAATTTAAGAACACATTTGGCTGATGTTAATACTTTTGATTTATTCCCCTCTGTGTAAATATTCCCTGTTTTCCCTGTGGAAATATTAATGTGTTTTATTGTGGGGTGCTGCCGCACCTTTCTTAAATCTGGAAATTTGAACCTCATTAAATCTGAATTCTAGGGTCTCCCTAGTGGCGCAAGGGGTTAATAAGTCTCAGCACTATGAAGCTATCCACAGCCACTGCAGCATGAGTTATATCTGATCCGGCCAGGGAGCCACCCACATGGTACAGCAGACCTCTCCTGTCTCGCCTGCTGCTCCCCTCAGCAGTGTATTTCAGTAGATCTGCCTGTTCTGCTCCCCATTCTGTCTCTGGTGATTCCTCTCACCCCCACACCCCGCATCTCTGGCCTACACTCCAGCTCTTGTATGCATAAATAAATAAAATAAATCTTTTAAAAAAATCTGAATTCTGGGCCTCCCTCGTGACGCAGTGGTTGAGCGCTGGGCTGCGAAGCTGCCCGCAGCCTCTGCGGGGCCGATTTGATCCCCGGCCACCAGTGAGGGTCCCACATGGCGCGCAGACCTCTCCTACTGCGTCCGCTGCTCCCCTCAGCAGTGTATTTTGTCAGTCTGCCTGTTCTGCTCCCCACTCTGGCTCTTACGAATTCTCTCACCCTCTCACACTTCTGACTGTACCCAGTGCTTGTATAAATAAATAAATAAATCTTTAAAAAAAAATCTGAATTCTAATACAGGCCCAGCCCCTACCGTTGTATATGAGGGACTGTGAACCTGAATTACTCTTTTCAACTTTCCAAACCAAGTGATTCAGAATAGAGACAACACAGAAAGCATTACCAGGAACTCTTCCTGGTTTCTAACCCAACTCCTCCACAGCACATGATCTACTTGACAAGGAAGCTCAACAGCCTTTCATGACCCATGGACTTGAGAGCATCATAGCATCCCTGGAACTGCACAGACTTGAATCGACCTTACTCTGCCTCCCTCAGTGAGTGGAAGGTAAAGTTCCAAGTCTGATATAACTGGATACACTGCTATTAGAATATCTTTTAAACAGCGTACAATACTACTGCTTCTTTATTTTAATTATTAACAGAAACACACGTAGGAAAAACAAATCAAATGTGGATTCCACTGACATTTCACCCCTTTCCCAGCTGGTCTTTCTTCAAATGTCTGAATGTGGTTAATGCCTGGAGAAGAATTCCCCACAGGCAGAGATTTCATCTTGGCTTTAGAAGTGAGCTGAGTACCCCTATTAGGTCTCAACAAGTGAAAACACAGTAGTAGGTGCTATGTCTATTATAAAAGAAGTCCTTAATACAGTCAGGTCCTTCCTCTCTCTCTGTAGGGAGAGCTATCAGAGACATGAGCAATCTGGAGAGAGGAAGGGGCTTCGAGTTGCTGGTTGGCTCTGTGCCTCCTTATCAGCCTTCTCTTGCAAGGCTATAAAACAAAAGTCACCCTGTTCAACAGAAAGCATCAGTGACACTAGATCTGTGATGGCTTTTTAAAACTTCTTAAAGGTCTGAGGTTTCATTGCACAGCTTTTAAAAGGATTCATTCATATATATACATATATATCCACAAACACACACACACACACTCATATATATGTATGTATATATATATATGTGAGTTTTCTGTGAGAAGTAAGGAAACTTCTCCCAAACCGCTGGAGATGCAGAAGCCAGGGACAGACAATGTAGTGCCTTCTTTTGACTGATTTCTCCGATTCTAGCGAACTCAACCTGCAGACAGAACACACTGGCTTCTGTTGGTTGTGAAAGGAAGTCCCTTTGATAAGAGGATTAGGAAACTTCTTAGAATGTCAGATTTCCTCTGATTTGAAATTCTGCCAGATGTCTCTGCTCTATCCTCTAAGGTGACACTATATCTGACTGTATGCTTAGTTTCCACTGTAATTAAATCAAGGTAGGTGGCACTCTCTGCACTCAAGTGCCTAGAATCCTTAGTTAGCAACCATGTATGCTGCCAAATATGAGAAGTTGTCGAGGAGTTATGTAAATGTATAAGGAAAATTTCATAAGAAAGAGCAAATGTAAATAGAGCTAGATATATGGTTTGCAGGCTTTGAATTACCATGAGGTGATATAAAACAGCATTTTCTTTTAGACATGAAAATGCATCTGTATGGTTTTATGTATATAAATATATAATGCTCAAGAGTGATGGTGACACAGACTGACACAGAAGTCATGTTGGGGACAGGTTGGGTGATCGAAGGTTTTGGACTATCATTTCACAGTAATACTGTGCCATTCCATGCTCGCAGACCACTGTTCATATGGAGCACTGACAGGAGGTACTGAACACTCCACCCATGTTTGAATTATAACATGGGATGATGGTCAGTCCAACCGGACAAAGGTTGTATTTGAAAGGAAGGTCTTGAATCTCCACAAAACAAAGTAGCTTTCAAAACTACTGATGTGGGCTTGGAACCAACAGTCCATAAAATTGTTCTTCCTCTCATAAAGCAGGCACTTACAGACTCATTTTGACTTACACAGCCTGCGTTCCAGTAAAGAGGGGTGATAAACTCAGCATCCGCTAGGTAGAAACAGATTTGAATAGCTGAGTTTTCAGAGACCTCTCAAGACATTCTGCATCTTCACCTCTTCTTCCCTGGTGTTTCAGCCTCTTGGGCAGCACAGATCATGAGCACACCTTTTTTTTAAAATCTCTTAAATTGTATGATTTAACCTCAAAAATGTCGACAGTTACTATGAGGTATTTTACATACAGCAGTTCTCAAAATGTGGACCAAGAACCCTAAAAGTGTTTTTGGTATTTTTCCTGGGACAGAGTTTTTGTAAATAGTTTGACCTTTGCAGTTCTTGCTTATAAAAACTGTTAAGGGCACCAGAGCAATGCAGGAAGGTAACTCCACAGCACTAGGAAGGCAAAACAAAGCCATTCTGAGGCATTATCCAATACCATGCCAACTATGAGATTTTCCAGGCTGCCTGGTGGGAGCAGAAACAATTCCCAACCACTTTGAAGGAAGGCTACCTATAGACTCAAGTAGCTTCCTCAAAGAATGCACACACTTAACATCTCCATTGTGTGAATGCTGGCACCCTCCCCTCTCTGCAACACCTCTCAG